CATCCCAGTACTGAGAAAGAACACACTGTGGCAGGATGTGACACCTATAGCTGCAGTGGTGGCATTGCCAACACAGTGACACTTGGCTTGTCTCAAAGTAACAGCAAGCCTTATTTTGGTCTGAGGCAGGGCCTGGAGTGGCAAGACAATTGTAGGCATGTTGAAGCCATAATCCTTGGCTGGTTCGAACTATGTCTTAGAGAGAAGTATGAACAGCAGGGATTTCAGGAAGAACTATGTATATAACTTACCCAGTTATATTGCCACTAGTGCTTAATTCTACTTCCAAACTGGCAGAAAAACCCAAAGCATTTACTATTTTAGATTTTTAATTATAAATGGACTCGAAATATAAGTATGTTGATGTTCATCTTTGGCTGGTTGAAAACATTTCTTTGAAGACAGTGTACCCAAAAGCTAATTTAGGCAAAAACTGTTTCTGTAGACTTTCCTGTTTATAATATCACCCTTACATAATTACATTACTAGAGAAAAAGACTCCAGGATAAGTTACCAGGAATAATACCCTAAACGATGCAACAAAAGTGGCATGATAAAGAAACCACTACAACTTAATGAGTATGGGCTCCTTTTGGGGTTGTAAAAGGTTTTGGGACTAGATACAGAGATGGTGGTTGCACAACATTGTGACTGTGCTAAATGCCACCTTAAAATAGTTAATTTGATGCTACGTAAATATCACCTCAATTTTTTAAAAAGTGGAGAAAAAATATAAAAAATACAAAAAGAAACCATACCTTCGCACAAGTCAAGACATATCCTGGCCCAAGAGCAACAATCTAGGTCAGTGTGCACCACAGAAAATAAGCAATCACCTGATGGCTCCCAATTGGTAGTTGTTCCTATTGGTGGCTTTCATTGGTCACCAAGGGTTGGTTTTGGCAAGAAAGGGACCTTCTCCCCAGGGTGAAGAGGATTTGCCACTTCAGAGCAAAAAAAGCTAGACTTTATCAAACAAAGTCAAAAACATTAGGCCCTTTTATGTATACACAAATCCAAAGACATTGGACATTCCTATCCTCTTTTCTGGGGCCCTGGTGTCACAGTGGTTAAGAGCTTGGCTGCTAACTGAAAGGTTGGCAGTTCAAATCCACCAGCTGCTCTTTGGAAACCCTATGGGGCAGTTCTGCTCTGTCCTATAGGGGCACTATGAGTCAGAATCAACTCGATGGCAACGGGTTTGGTTTTATCCTGTTTTCTATTCTCTGTTATAGTTTCTATAAGATAGAAATTATCGATTTCTTGATGCGGCTTTCCTCCAGCTGCTTTACCAATCAGCTGGAGTCTACTCTGACACACAGGGGTCTCCATGGATCAGAATTGACTCTGCAGCAACTGATACTGTTACACTAAAGATTTAGATGTTTCAAACTATTGGAGCAAAGTTAGAAAGAGGAATCTCCAGGAAGCTAGTAACTTTTACCTGGAGTGATATTTTTACAACACCTGGCAAATGGTGAAGAGAAACTTCCTTCAGCTCTGGACATAGTACTATTCAAATTTTCCATGGCAGTACTGACTTGGACCCAACCCAGCAGACAATCCCAGTATATATGTCTTACATCTGGCTGCCACTATCCAAGGATTATTGTAACATCCAGCAATAGTCTAGGTCGTCAGTGAGTTAAGCGCTTATAATTACAACTGAACTATACCCCAGAATGGAGCCCTGGTGGCACAGTGGTTAAGAGCTCAGCTGTTCAAAGTCACCAGCCACTCCTTGAGAACTCTATGGGGCAGTTCTACTCTGTCCTATTGGGTCAATATGAGTTAGAATTGACTTCACAGCAACGGGTTTGGTATACCCCAAAATAGTAAGTTAAGGTGATCCTATGGTTTTTTCTTTTTTGGTTGAGGTGACCATATGGTGTTTTTCTTTTTAATCTGTAGTACAATGAATTGTATATATTTTTCAGGTAGTAAAACATTCTTGCATTCCTGGGAAAGACCCAGCTTGGTTTATACACTTTGCATTCAATTTGCCCCAATTTTATTGGTGATTTTTCATCTATATTCATAAGTGAGATTGGTATACAAATTTTTCATAATATCCTTGCTCAGATTTTGCTTCAAGATTTTCCCAACTTTATGAAATGGGTAGGGTAGTTTAATCTCTTTTCTGTTCTCTGAAATAGTTTCTATAAGGTAAGAATTATCGATTTCTTGATGTTCACCTATGAAACCCTTTCTTTTGGTGGAGTTTTGATTACTAGTTCTATTCCTTAGTGGTTATTAGTTTATTTAAATTGTCAAAATCTCTTAGAAAAATCTTGGTAATACTTGTTTTTCTAGAAATTTATCAATTTCTTCTACTTACAAAAATAATTGTCATAAAGTTTATGGTATTCTTTCAATTATTTTTAATCTCGGTAGTTGTCTCCTTTTTTGATCTAGATATTGTTCATTTGAGACTTTTTTCTTTCTGATTTGTCTTGCTAGAGGTTTGTTTGGAAGTATCTCTTTAGATGAAACCTACAAAAACTCCCTTGAAGGACTGCCACCAGCTTTGCTGTCCCAGCGTGGCTTTGCCTACAATACTACAGTGAGTGTTCACTTAGTTTTTTCCTTATACTTGAAAATACAGTTGTTTTGCCGCTCCTCTAACTTCTCTCTTCTGTATTTTCTTACCTTGCTAGTTTTTCTTGTGTTTACTCTTCAGTTTTCATTATTGTATTGATTCATTTTTGTTCGAGACATCATTTGAGGAAAGACAGTTATTAAATTCCTTATTCATTTACTGAACATGTGTATATTCTATACTTAGAATTATGAGAATTAGTGAGAATAGAGATGAATATAAATAGTTCATATTAAATCAGGTGATTTGTTATCTATAATTTTTATACTGTAATATAGTGAAATAAGTGACATTAATTTTCTCTCTTCCATTCTATTTCAGTTATGTAATTAGATGAGCTCTATTTTGGGGAATAAACTTTGGACAAATAATTAGATATTTTCACACAATACTCTCACACATAAGTACAAAACCATGGCAAGAATACTGTGGCTTTTGATAGGAGTCACACTTTAAAATGTTTTGGTCTCATAAACTATGTTCCCTAAAGGAAATTTTCAGCATCTTTAGTTTAGTACAAGCACATGGTAACATTTCACTTCTATTCAAAACTACAAAATTTCTGGCAATAGTCTATGGGACAACTGCAGCAAGTACACGGTCAGACTTTCAGAAAGTAACTCCTGAATGAACACAACACTGAAACGGAAGTTCCTGATTTATCTCATTGTTATTGTTGTTGTGTGCTGTCGACTAGATTCCGGCTCATAGCCACCCTATAGGACAGAGTAGAATTACCCCAATAGGGTTTCCTAGGCTGTAATCTTTATGGGAGCAGATCTGGGAGAAGCTGGTGGTTTCAAACTGTCGACCTTTCAGTTAGCAGCCAAGCGCTTAACCACTGCACCACCAGGGCTCCTTACTAGGGTAGAAATTACTGTAGTTTGTTTGCCGGGTTTTTTTGAGGGGAGGGGTTGCTCAAGAATCTCTAATTTAATGAAGTAAAAGATAGCTGTCACTATTCTCCACTATAAATAGCAGCTTTTCCAACTGAAATCAAGAAAAGACAAGTTTTGCATCAAAAACTGGCAGTCTTGTCATTTGCTATTAAAAAATCTGTTTCACGATTGCCAAAGAAATGTGCAGAATCTAGAAAAAAGTGGGCAGTAGGATATGTTTTTCTTTCCACACATGTAAATAAAACAAAAGACTCTACTGGAAACCAAAACTTATTTTAAAATAAGAACATTTGTAAATGTTACAAAAAATGAAATACGTATAAATCTAACAAAATCTGCACAGGGTCTCTAGTTTAAGTAGTTAAGTAATTTGAGAATGCTGGAACCAAGCAAACCAGTGGCAAGATTTGTCTTTGTTTTTTTCTCACATACATAAAATCCTCAGACAGCATCAGTTACAGCATTTTTCAGGTGCATAGGGTTGACTGTAAGAAAATTAATTATCAGGGCCAGAAAGAAGTTAATCGTGTATAATGAAAAGCTCCTCCAGCAAAAGCCATGCTTGCAAACCAGCTAACTCAACCCTGATGACCCATGTGTTGAAATTTCACATTTGTCATAGCAATTGAAGACATAAACTGAAACTGGTTCTGATGGTTAAGGTTGTGTCAGCTTGGCTGGGCCATGACTCTCAGTGGTTTGGCAGTTATGATGTAGTTTCACAGTTATGTAATGATGTAATCACCTCCATGATGACATCTGCTATGAGCAGCCAATCAGTTGAAAGGGAGTTTCCTTGGGGTGTCGCCTGCATCCAATATATACAGGCTTCCTGGCAAAGCTCACTGGCTTTTGCTCCCTCTGGATCCTGTATCCTGCTCATCTTCATCTGATCTCCAGGTCTTGGGACTTGAAACAGCAGTCTGCTGTCTCACCTACCAGTCTTGGATTCATCAGTCCCTGCAGCTACGTAAGTGAGGAGAAGCCTCCAGCCTGATGTGTGACCCACGGACTTGGGACTTTCCAGCCTTTATGATCACGTGAGCCATTTCCTTGATATAAAGATCTATATATTGGAAATCAATATTGATATATTGATATAAATATCAATCTCTCTCTATATATATCTACGTATAAAATCTCTCTCTCTATATATATATATATAACCAAAATAACCAAACCAACTGTCTTCAAGTCGATTCAAGACCTTTCCTACAGCTACTTATATTCAGGAAAGTTATTCAAAAGAGTGCATTAAATATAACCTTTCAAAATCACACAACAGAAGATCTTCATTTATGCAATAAATCATCTGTGGTGTGTTTGGATAATGAAAGTCTAAAATAAGTCAAACCACACAAACTTCACCTCTTGCTTTCGCCATTAAAATAGACACATTGGAAATCCAAGTTCCAAACACTTCCTCTGTTGAAGATAGGAAAATTTAGTGCAAGCCACCTAGCTACAACTTTTTGAATGTTTACAAAATGTTGAGCCTTAACGATAGAAGAGACTTTTATTTAAAAGATGTATTTTTAAAAAACCAAAATTTATCCAATTTATTTTCAAACTAAGGATTGATCCATGTTTTCAGTTTATTGTCATACAGAAAACATTTTATAAAATAACATAGTGGACTTCCATTTCAACATCTTCATGTAAAAATTTCAGTGCAAGAAAGTGATCAGTGTTAAGTGTGAAGACAGCTAAAGTCAGATGGTATTTTAAGTTTATATAGGGCAGAAAGTGTTTGCTATCCACTCCCAAAAAACGTTGGCATATACATTAACTGCTGAGATTATAAAAATCACTTAGTATCCATTTCTTATCCTTTGATACATTTTTATATCTATACTGCATTGATTAATGCTGGTGAAGAAAACGGCTCACTTAAAAATGTAAAAATCTTTTCAGGTACCACAATGATTTAAAATCAACTAGGAGAAAGCTCCCCCTAAATATTTTGTGTGTAATCTTCTGTCCATTACCACAATAACAAAGTAACAAGTCATTATACCTTAAAAAGAAGTCAAAGGAAACACTTTTCCTTTGAAAATACCATTCCTTAGCTCTTAATAAAGAGGAAAATTTTTTCTTAATTCTTGGGGGAGAGGGAGTGTTTCATAAGTAAAAACCTCAATTTTGTCAGTTATACAAATGTCTCATTTATGAAAAAAGTGAATACTTTGATTCAAAGGATTCTAAAATATTGTCAATACAAGTGTAATTTAAAGTTAAAAAACAGAAACACATTAAACTACTACAAATCACCGATTAACATATTCTATTATTTTTCACAAAATCCACAATTAAGAAACAATAGGTTATGTAAGATCCCTTTTTCCAGCATTTGGTCAGACTAGCTAAAATGCCCCAGGCAAGCAACATAACCCACCGTCTCAGGATCCCCATCTATCAAATGAGGGCACTGGACCAACTAACTGCCCTTCCACATCTACTCCATCCTACAAATGTATACATAGATTTGTCAAGTTTTACATAATCTTTTTTGAGAATGAGGTGTTCCAACTTAATGAATTTCACAGATAAATAAAGCTTTCCCATTTAAGTGGCAGCTGTACTTTAAACATTATTCAAACTTTTAAATGTATTTCCCTGTCACTTAAAAGAAGATGAGGTATGACTAAAAACAGTCTCCTAATGTCACAGTCTCCCAGACTTTGCAGCTGATCGAGTGGTCCTCAGACATGGCTTGGGCCCTAGCTCAAATTCCTTGCAACTCTGGGCCAAACTGTGAGTCTTAAAAGGAGGATGATACCACCTGCTCTGATTCTCACTGTTTTGAAGACCAATAGAGTTATTATATATCAAAGTATTTGGAAACTATAAATTACCATACAAATGTAAAGGATTGTTGTGATGAACCTAAGTTGACTTTTTCCTGTTAACTGAGCCTGGATATTTTGATAAAATATATGTTCTTATGTCAGGACTTATGCATTTATGGTTCTGATTCTTCAGTTATCTGACTATTCTCCTACAGTTATTTTGTTCTCCTTCTAATTTGATGCTATATCTTTTAATTGCACCAGGCCTGAGATTCAGGTTCTTTCTCCTATAGTCTAGAAATCTGACCTGTAAATAGGCAGAAACCAAAACTCAAACAACTGTTACTTTAGTGAATGTGGCATCACTATGCACTTTAGAAGGGTGGTTTCCTAACTAAGCTAGGCATCAGGCTCACCTAGGAAGCTTTTTAAAACTTGAGATTCCCAGGTTCCAGCCCTACAGACTCTGATTCAGTATGCCTGGGGTAGGATCTGGAAAAAACTGTTTCTCAAAAGCTCCCGCAAGTAATTTCCATAACCAATTCATTTGGGATTCACGGCTTTGTCCTCCACAGCGTCTCTAGATTAGTAGTTGCTAGTTTCCTTGGTTTTGAGATTAAAATGTCCCCTTGCATTAACCACATGCACATTGGAAGTAGACTGCCTGTGACCTTGGCTTAGACCCACAGAACTACTCATTACTATTTTTTGCAAGAAAATTTTTGAAATGATAATGTAACCTCAAAGCTAAGACAATGTGTGCAGATGCTGAAAGGTAGCAGGTTCTACACTCACTGGGCACCTGTGTTCTGCTCTACCTGTAGTCAGTCACTGGTTCATAAAGACCATCTTATTATGGTTGTCACTGGCAGAACTCCTCCAAATCACAGAAACATAGATAGCTAGTCAGTTTTATTAAGAAAATGTTTCTAGCAGACATACATAAAAAGTATTTTTAAAAAACTACATAGCTTCCTGTAGAAACCCAAAAACTTCCATGCTTCTGAAGTCAACCATAAAGAGGAAAGTGGACCCAAACACAGTTGTTTAAAAATATGCTCAACTAACTGTGAAAATTTAAGTGTAACATAGGCACAATTTCATCCTTTAGGAAGTTTAACGGGCATGAACGGAATTTGGTTTCCATTTATTCTACCCAAACAGTTAATTATGAAAACGACATGTGAAGTATTTGGTCGAATGCAGTTTTGAACACCATCCCTTCCAAATTTTGTACAAAATCCATGTTTGGATTTTCCAAGTGTCTCAAGTGTATCTAGGCACTGCGGAACGTTGTCATGTCTTTCGGTTCTCTGCTTGGGACGCACCAGTCATCAGCCTCGTGGTTGGTGTTGTAATGCTTCCAGGCAGCTTTGTTGTACACTGGGAGTCTTTCTATTGATTCTGTTGACAGAGCCTGAAAAAACAAGCAGGACCTAAGTTTGGCGTTTTAAAAAATCCGTTGTTTGAGAAAATACACAACGGCGCAAAAGTTACTACAAATTAAATAATACTACATTGGGTTTGTAGTTTATTAATCACAACAGCATCTACATACATTTTTAAGAAGAGTACATATTTGACACGTTATTTACTAAATCTATAGCACTGCTTAGTGTGCATGTTGACTAAGTTTGTTGCTTGCAGTAAATCCCCAGCCAGCCTGGAAGCTGCTGGATTGAAATTTTTAAATAGGTATAGTAAACAACTCTTACAAAACCTGACCCAGACCAAAAGTTGGTTGGTTAACTGAAAAAGTCTGCTAACGTGTGAAAATATAAAAATTGACATATGCACCTTAGTGTATGTAATTGTATAAGCATTTAATGAAATCTATAATTTCAATTATTTAGTAAAAAAATTTTTTTTTTTTTTCAGTATACTCACTGTACTTTCTTTAAACTCATCATGACAATATTCTCGATAAATATAAAACTATGTCTAAGGCATCTTAGCTCCTGCAGGAGCACTTCTGGGCCTTGGGTTTGAGCCTGTGTCGTCATTGAAAGCCACCTGTTTCAGTCACAGCACATGCGACTTCTGTATCATACATAATTTCATTTCTAACGTATCATTACCATTAACTCACTGTTTCATGTCAGTTTCCTATAAATCACTGGAACCTTCAATTTACCAGAATAAACTATTGTTTCTCATTATCTTCTTAAAGTTAGGACTTTTTTTCAGTAGAATTTTCAACTTCAAGCCACAAGCATTCCCCAAAATGTAGGAAATGTTGAACTAGAAACTTCATTCTAATAATACTAAGGTCAGTCTTTGATACTGATGATTTTAATGATGCTGTGACCTCTTGGCTTCTATTTTTCCCAAAATGGAACTAAAAAACTTTCACCTACATACTCTCTTTAAATATTCCAAAACCCTTCAATCTAGACTCAATAAAAAATGTTACATTTGGTGGTAAAAACACTGCCTTCATGTTGCCCTTTCTAAGTTCCTCACAATTGAGATGGGAGAAAACTTATTATCTAGAAAGAACTTACCGGCCTTTCAGATAAGTTTATCTTTCCAATGTAAATTCTTAAGCATTTCCTATAAAATAGGTGCCATCTAGTGGCCAAAAAAGGAAACTAACGTCACCAAACAGTGGAAGCTGTGAACAGCCCACCACTTAACCAAAGTGGATTGATGGAACCCAGTGGTTCTCCATCCCTCTAAAATATACTGACCCCTGAAACACACTGGACCATCCAGGCCAATATGTTAAGTGCCTCTCCTCCCACCACGTGAGCTATATGTTTACCACGAATCACCTGTGCTTGTCCCTAAATCAGTTTATGCAATTATGCAATCTACCATTGCAATTACAAAATTTTACCACGTTACATAACAAAGTACAAAAATGGGTGGGGTGGGTTGTTGATTATATGAAAACGAAGATGAGTGCTTTGGAAAGACTCATGAAGGAAAGTGATATACACACTGCTGTCAAATTAGAGTCAGAAGACATCTGTGAAGGATTGTATAAATATCCAAAACAAATTCTGCACCTGGTTGTTTCTTTGTGTTTAAAGAAACCCAAACCGGAAACCATACACGATGCCTTTTAAGTACGGCTTCTGCAAGAAAGACAATGTGAAACTCCAATCTGCAGACCCATGCACAAAGAAAAGGCCTTGGTAATACACTAAACGATTGGTGGATGAACGTCCAATTATGTTTTATGTTAAAATTCAAACTGTAAGATATATAACTTTTTATGATTCCCCATTTTTACTGAGTTTTTTTCCTGTTAACCATAGTCCTGATCATGTCAGATAAGAAAGTTTCTTTCCCCATACTGGTGGGGATCATCTGTCAAAACAGATGAGATCATATGTAAAAAAAACTGTAATATTCTTATATTTAAATTGCGTCCAGTAGAAGCAAGGTTTTATTTACCGTTAAACATTGGCATCTTTTCTTATAATCAAAAGATGTATCATTAAATCAAGAAGACTAAAGTCATACCTTAATGTAGATAACTGCATCTGTCCCATAGCCCTCGAGGGAATACAGCTTTAGGTCTCCTTGGAAGTACTGTGCATAAAGACGAGATATGGGCAATCCATAACCAAAACCAGCCTGTTCGATGAGAAAAACAAAATTCTATTCAGAAAACCATACTTTGTGATATTTTGCTATTTACAATCAATGCCACTGAGTGTCCCAGGGCTATCAGAGCCTACATCTGAGAGATCCCTCAACGTCTAAGTATTAATACCCCTTTCAAGCCCCACCTACCAGTGAGGAAGCTAAAGCTTAGTTGTCTCCCCTGTGATCATTCAAAACTCTCCATTCTTCTGTTTTCTATAAAATGACTTGCGGTGTTCTGGAAAAAGCATGTTGCTTCTCCTCAATGGCCTGTTCTAGACTATTCCAATACTGCTTCTAACAATATTATATAAAACATGTTTGTTCTTTCAGGAGCAAGAATAGAAAAGACTTGTAGTGGCCTAACAAATATATCTCATGATTTCATACCATGAATTTCCAATTGTGTCCTGAATCTGGGATATCTATAGAGCACAGTTGTATCCCTTTTTCCTCGTTGCAACGCGTTGCCCTGGAGATAAAAATCCAAGCTTCTAACAAGGGCTTTCAAGATCCTATAAGATCTGCCCTCTGCCTCCCACTTTTCAGTCCAGCAGAACTAAATCTGCTGATTTTTAAGTTCCTCAATCATATCATATTATTTCTCATTTCTGTGTCTTTGTTCATCTTGTTCCCAGTATCCGGAATGGTTTCCAGAATGGCTTCCTTCTTTACCTGTACAAATCCTACCATTTCTTCAATACTAAGCAAAACATTTGGACAAGATATAAAAACGGTTTTTTATTACCAAGTTATATGTTCAACGACATTGCACACAGCACGTTAGTTAAGAGCTTGTGTGGACTCAGGAGTCAGAGTTCTAGGGTTCAAATCCAGGCTCCAGCATGACTGATCTCCAGCATTTATTACTTGACTTTTCTAACCAGAGTTTCTGTTTGTCCCTCCAAATCCCCTGCCTATTCTCCATACTTCTCCCTGGTCTGGGGGCTGACCTGAATGGATTACATCAATGAATTCCCATGCACTCTACTTCCAGTGGGCTCAGTCACTGGGGAGCCCAGCATGAGTTGAGAGAGAGAGAAAGTCAGGGTACTCATTCCCCTGGCTCCTTCCCTGTGAGGTTGCCTTGGGCTAAGTGGGCCTATTGAGAGAAAGCAGGGGCTCTGAAACTTTCTCTTCTTCTGGGTTCTAACTTCTTCTCCTTCTCCCTTCAAGTCAGGGTGGTGGCAGTTTTACTGCTGCTAGTCCTGGATTCCTGCACTTTCCCTACCCATACCTGGGTCATTTAGTCTCTTTGTAAATAAACTTTCCTTGAATTATCATAACTTGAGTAAGTCACCTCCTTCCTGTTGGAACCCTGATAGATTAATTGGTTCCAGAAGTGGCCCCAAGAAAACTGCACAAGCAGGTCGCTCAGGTTCCCATGATACCTGACCCACTTTATCACTGCTCTCCCTCAACCACACCTATGAGGGTTCCCCGATGACTAGTAACAGAGAGAAGAAAAAACAGCATAGACCTGGTCCACTGATGGACCTACACAGTATGCCACACCAGCCAAAAGTATACCACCCTTCCACAACCCCTCTCAGAAGTGGGCCTGAAAGACAGGGGTGAAAGTAAATCCTACTAGTGGGCGGAACTTGAGGTATTACACCTACACTCCGTCATGGGCAGGGGCAAACATACTGACTGGCCAGGGACTTGGAAAGAGCAAAACTGGGTAACAGATGACAAGGAGGTCTGGGAGAGATGTGGCTAGTCAGTCTGCTTTGAATGGGCCGAGAGTGTAAAGATATTCCGTCCCATGTAAATGGCCACTAGAAGGCATCCACCTGGAACCACTCAATAATCAGGTGGACAAGATGATCATTCCTGTGGATATCAGGCAGCCTTTCTCCAGTTATCCCAGTGCTTGCTTATTGGGTACACTTACAAAATGGTCACAGCAGCAGGAAGGAGTCTCCGCAAGAACTCCACAACAGTCTTACCCTCACTAAGGCTGATCTGGCTACCACCACGGCCAAGTACCCAACCTGCCAACAGCGGCGAACAATGCTGAACCCCCAACATGGCACCTACTCCCAGGAGAACCTGCTGGCTACTTGGTGAAAGACTGATTACACTGGAACTCTCCCATCACAGAGGGGATAGTGCTTTGTCCTCCAACAATAGACAGATATTCTGGAGAAGAAATTGCCTTCATGCCTAAAGCACTTCTGCTAGTATCACTACTCATGGACTTACAGAATGCTGTGTCTATGGTCCCAGTAGCCTATACATATTATTCCCAACAAGAGGATATAGTCTGTGGCAAAGGAAACGGAAATTGAAGTCATGTCCACAGAATTTACTGATCTAACTACATGCCCCATAACCCAAAAATAGCTGGCTTGATGAGACTGGAGTGGCCTGATAAAGACTCGGTTATAGCTAGAAGACAATATCCTGTCCAGGATTACAGGACAGAGATTTGGCAAAGTGCTCTTTTGAGAGGTGTGGGATAAGAAACAGGGTCAGTTCAGAAACTGACCTTATTACACCCGATACAAGTGATTAAGATCAGTAAAAAACACCATTCAAAAAGATGATAATTTGAGCCATTTCAACCTGGTGATTAAACTGCTCAGAACTCCAGTCTTACTTCAGTGTTTAGAATATGAGATCTTTCGATTAAATTACAAATACTCAAGGAAAAAAAACCAACACTGAAAATTAATTCAGGGTTAACCAAATATTAGTAAAACCAGTAAGTTATTCTTTGCATTATTAATAGCATATCAAAATGTAGTTTACTACATGAAAACCACGGATATATCACTATCAAGCCTGGCAACGAGAACTCCAAAACAAATACTCTTTGTCTTGTGCCCTTTTCAATTAAAAAAAAAGAATTATTCCACAGGCCGTATTAAATGAGGGAAGTGTTTGTTTCTAGCAGATTCCTTCCTCCTTGTGGACCACTCTACACAATGGCTTAAACGATTCGTTCAGCAGCCAGATCCCAGTGAAGGCAATTCACAAAACACATGCAATTATTTCTTGATCACATACCAGGGGCACCGCTCGGGACGTCTCAATACGAGGCCGGGGTGCAGTTGAATACATGTAGTTGAAGAGTCTGTCAATTTTCCTCAGAGGGACACCACCTCCACGATCACTCATCTAAGGTAAGAAACAATCATGCCCTATGACCAAGCCCAATAAACAGCAAAATGCATATGCATAGTGTTGTAGATTAACTACACGCTAGAGAGTATTGCTCTTTAAAATTTGCACTGTACAATCCAGGTTGCAAATATAAACTTTCTCTCACTGGCAGACCTAACATGCCACCTTAATATGTGAATTCTAATATATAATAAATTCCATCAGAATACAAATTTAATGCTGGGGCTTTGTCCATTTACTGAAGTCCCATGAATAGCACAGCCACAAGGTAAACCTCTCTTGGCTGGAACAATAAGTTTGTTATTCCTTTCTGGTGGTCAGTTTGGCAAACAGTATCAAATTTCAAGTGCACTCTATGATTCAACAATTTCACTTTCAAAAATTTATCCTAGGAAAATAATTAGAAAAGCATGCAAGAGAATATCCATCACAGCACTATTTAGAGTAGCTAACCTGGATAACAACCTAAATAAGGGATTAGTTAAATAATTCTAAAATATAATACTATTTAGCTATTAAATATAGAACTATATGTTTTGACATGAGACACAGCCACAAAATATTGTCAAGCAGCAAAAAGCAAGTTATGAAGAAATATTTATAATGTTCTAATTTTATTAAAATTATATCATTAAAAAATGTCTGAAATGCTTTTATTGCCTATGGAATTAAGGGTGATTTTCTTTTCTTTCAGTTTTCAGAATTTTTTCACAATTAATTATAGAGGAAAAAAATAGTATAACTGTCATTTTCATGGAGGAAAACAGAACCACTTCATTGTGTTTTAGAGTCTCATCTCTAAGCAATTTCACAGCACTGATGCCCAGACAACTTTCTGGTGAGTTTGTGAGGTATATTAAGTCCTTATATTTTTCTTTTGTCACTTTCCAATTTAAATAATCATATGGTAGATTTAATAATAAATTTAGTAATTTTTTTACAGATTATTTTTACTCTGTTTTCCTTCACAGTTAACATGGACTTATTTTCCTAGCTATTGCATAACTTACATTCTTATTTAGTATAGTCATTTTCCTTTATGACAAAATCTAAACTGACTCTACTATCTATAACATTAGTGTAGCAGTCATATACAAACGAATCTGCTTTTAACATACGAATACAGACTTGGAGATAGATAAAAGCAGCTCTGAAGGATATGTACTGAAAAGTCAACATGCTGAACAGTTTATAACTGAGTTTTTATGTTCTTAAAAAATCTTTGCAGTATGCATATATTACTTTTATAGTAGAAATTATATCGCTATTTTAATTTGAAAATGAAAATCTGCTTTGAAATACCATTTGAAGACTTGCCTATTGTATATCTACACTTAAGTGATTACAATACACAAGTATAAAACCAAAAACAAAACAAAACCCGTTGCCATTGAGACGATTCCAACTCATAGTTACCATACAGAATGGAGTAGAACTGCCCCACAGGGTTTCCCAGGAGCACCTGGTGATTTTGAACTGCCAACCTTTTAGTCAGCAGCCAAACTCTTAACCACTACGCCACCAGGGTTTCCGTACACAAGTATACAAACACTTTATTAAGAACTTATATGCATCATTATGCTTGAAATTGTTCTTGGCTATGAATTCAAAGTCCTGTAAAAAGGCTTATTTTAATAAGATGAATAAACAGAAGTCTGGAGGTATTTTCTGAGATCTGTCAACTTGTTAATTATTCATCCTTAATTCAATGCTCTGCTACACATTTTGTGGTAACAAGTAAGAAGTGTAGGTGTCCTGTAAATATTAATTAAGTAAACAACATACTAGAATAGGTATTACGATAAAAGGTAGACATGAATAAATACTTCCTAGTTTTCTTTAACTTTTCATCTACGAAGACTACAGCAGTTCAGCAGTATGCAACAAGAAGTGATTTCCAGCCACAGGCAAGTACAAGAAAAGCAGATGAACTGAGCAGAAGGGACTGTGACAAGCATGATCTTACAACAGATGAAGTGGCCAACTAAGCCACAGGAATATAGTTAAAAATTGATAAAGGTAGCTTCCTTTGCTTTGCAGCCAAAAATACAATAAACAGGAATTGATGGATTTTAAAGACACTGGTGAAGTGATCAAAAGAGTTTCCAAGAGAGTTATAACAGGTGGTTTTACACCAGAAGATAGGGGTTATTTAGGAAAAGAAAAGGAGGAAATAGTGGGAGAGGCTTTTAGCTTCCAAAACTATATACATTTAAGGCAAGAAGAAAGCAAAAGGAATGGCACCTTGATAACAAATATATTGCGAGAGATGTGAAAATGAAACAAGAAATGTCTGATTAAGAGAATCTGGAGAGGAAAATAATCTAGAATCATGAGACCGTAAAGCCTGTGTCAAGAAAAAGAAAAGAGATTATGAAAAAGGTGGGGTGGTGGGCAGTAATATCAAGAGGAAAGGCTGAAGAACAGAGGTTTTCTCCTCAGTGCATAAAATCACTACTTCCTAATGTCACCTAACCAAGAGCTGCCATCCCTAACTTCCTGCTCCCCATAGCTCTGAACTCTCTGGGCTAATCTGTGTTAATTTTAGGCTCTGGGGAAAAGGAACCACTACTTGATGATAGCACTGAAGCCAGGAATTTACTAACCCTGTACTCACCCAGGGCTCTTGAAGCCTCTTACCCACAGCTATTTCACTGTCAAGCTTCTGAAGTCACCAACAGCTACTGAACCAAAACATTTCATTTTAATTTAAAAAAAAAAAGTATTAGCTAACACTATTTACTACATACAGACCAAACACAAAATCTGAAAGAGCAGCCAGAGTTGTAAGACAGAAAAAACAACTCATTGACAGGATTATTTTAGGTGAGGGATAAAAGGTTAAAAAAAAAAAAAAAAAAAGTCAATAATCTGAATAAATTAAAAGAAGGGGGGACAAAATCCAGGCCTTGATCCTGTAAGCCTAGGATAAGTGATGGGGATGAAAGCTCTGCTGAAGAACAGTAAAGCAAGCATTTAACATGTAAAGAGAGATAACAAGGGTAGTGCATTCATGGGACCTTGGATGTGAAGAGGAAATGAAAAGGTAGAGGCAGAGCTTAATAGAGGGAGGGATTTTTTTTAAGACTTCTAGACAGTTCTGTTTAATACCTTTCCTTTACATCAAATAGAGAAGTCCCCTAGCACTAACCCAAGTGTGTCCACCAACACAGAATGACTCTCTGCTCAGTGAACCTGGATACACATGCTGATGATGGATGGCCTCAAGTCTTCAAAAGTAGCTGTGGACCAGCATGCTAAAGCACAACAAATGGAAGCAGAAAAGGGTGCAAGACAGACCATGCTGCAGTACAACTTAAATCCCAGAACAGAAGGCATGTGGAACTTATTCTGAATAAAGTAAACCTTAATGGGTCATAGCTGACACAACCAACCAAAAAACAAACATTAGACTCTGAGCTGAAAAAGTAAAGCATTCACATTGTTTCCTTCAGCAAACAGATGGTATTATTGTATATTTATTTATATATGCCTCACTCTCGTAAATGAACAGCAAACGAGATGAACAGAAGAAGGTTGAAGGTAAAAGGATGGAAAAAGATACACCATGACAACAGAAATCAAAAGAAAGCTGAAGTGGTTACACTAATATCAGACAAAATAGTCTGCAAAACAAATTGTTACTAGAGACAAGGAAGGATATTTTATAAGGATAAAAGGTCAATACATCAAGAACATATAATGGATATGATGAGATAGAAGATCAAAAGGAAACAGAGATTGAACAACAATATAAACCCACAAGACCTAACAGGTATCTATAGAACACTTCACCCAACAACAGTAGAACACACTCTTCTCCACGGCACATGAAACATTCTCCAGAATAGATGATATGTTAGACCATAAAATAAGTCTAAATAAAAGTAGGACTGAAATCATACAAAGTATGTTCTCTGACCACAACAGATGAAATTAAAAATCAGTAACTGATGGAAATTTGGTAAGTTCACAAATATGTGGGAATTAAACAACACACTCCTAAATAACTAATGGGTCAAAGAAGAATTGACAAGGGAAATTAGAAAATACTTTGAAATGAATGAAAAAGAAAATACAACACATGAAACTTCTGGGATATAGAGAAAGCAGCGTACTTAGAGGAAAACTGATAGCTGTAAATACCCACACAGTGGTTAAGCATTTGGCTGCTAACCAAAAAGGTCAGCAGTTCAAATCCACCAGCCACTCCTTGGATGCCCTAGGGGGCAGTTCTACTCTGTCTTATAGGGTTCCTATGAGCTGGAATCGACTCAATGACAATGGTTTTTTTTTTTTTAAATATCCACATTTAAAAAAAAATTTCAAATCAATAATCTAAACTTTACCTTAAGAAATTAGAAAAAGAGCTAAGTAAACCCACAGCAAGCAGAGGAAAGAAAATAATAAAGATTAGAGTGGAAATTAATGAAATACACAATAGGAAAACAATAAGAGAAAAAAAACAATGCAATCAAAAGTTTGTTCTTTGAAAAGATGTAACAAAATTAACCTTTAGCCACTGACCAATAGAAAAACAGAGAAGACCCAAATTAGTAAAATCAGGAAAATAAAATGGGACATTACTACTAACCTTACAAAAATAAAAAGCATTATAAAAAATACTATGGACAATTATATGCCAACAAATTTCACAACCTAGATGAAATGGTCAAATTCCTTGAAAGACACAAACTACTGAAACTGACTCAAGAAGAAAGAGACAATCTGAAAAGATGTATAACAAATCAAGAGACTGAATTATCAGTCAAAAAACTTGTCACAAAGAAAAGCTCAGGCCCAGATAACTTTACTAGAGAAGTTTACCAAATGTTTAAACAAGAATTAACACAATCTTTCACAAACTCTTCCAAAAACAGAGGAGGAAAGAACATTTCCCAACTCATTCTATGAAGCTAGTATTACCCTGATACCAAACGAGACAAAGACATCACAAGAAAAGCACAAACTAATACCCCTATGAATATAGATGCAAAAATCCTCAATAAACCAATATAAACCAAATAAAAAGTCAGATGCATCGCAAGATGCCAAGTTGGTTCAACATACAAAAATGAAGCAATGTAATACTACATATTAATAGAATAAAGGGCAAAAACCACATGATCATCTCAATAGATGCAGAAAAAGCATTTGATGAAATCCAACATTTTTCTCATGATAAAAACCATCAACAAACTAGGAATAGATGGAAACTTCTCAACCTGATAAAGGGTACCTACAAAAAAATGACAGTTAAAATCAAACTTAACGGTGAAGGACTGAAAAGTTTTTCCCCCAAGATCAGAAAAGAGGCAAGGATATCAGCTCTTGCCACTTCCAATCAATACTGTACCGGAGTTCAAGCCAGGGTAATTAAAATAAAGCAAAAAAAAAAAGGTACCCAGATTAGAAAGGAAGTAGTAAAATTATCTCTATCTGCAGCAACATAATGTTGTATACTGGAAATCCTACGGAATCCACAAAAAAATGATAAGAGTTAATAAAGGAGTTCAACAAGGTTGCAGGATACAAAATCAACACATAAAATCCAGCTGTACTTCTATACGCTAGCAATAAATAGTCCAAAATGAAATTAAGGAAACAACTGCATTTATAATAGCATCAAAAAGAATATTCAGGGATAAATTCTGTACTATCTACATAACACTGCAAGTACCAAAATATTTTAGATCTTATCAAAGCGGATATTCACAATTACTACTAAATTGTCTGTCTCCAGGATTTACTTTAACTTGAATCACCCGGATTAGGACCAGAAAAGAAACAGACTCAAGAGATAATTCTATAATCTGCTGGATGAATGAAGCAGTGTGCTTATTTTCTATTAGCAACAGGATTTCTTTCCTCAAGAAGAAGTTATTATGCCTGTTAGAAATTATGTACATGCTTATTCTTGCTTGCCTACCCATAAAATTTTTTAAAATGCATTTACCTTCACAGTCAAATCCTCGTTACCTAGTGTGATGTGAACTTGAATAGGTGGGTAAACACCTTTGTCGGCATGGTATTCCATAGTTGCTCTCATTGCATTCTGAAATACATTAGGGTTATATTAAAAATATAACTTTAAAAAAAAGAAGAAATTAAAAAAGATAAACTAATTATATTTTCAAAACTACATATGCACTATTTGAATTTTTTTAAAACTCTTAATGCTTTGGGAATATGCCAAAGAATCACAGTTCTTACAACCATATTTAAAGAGTTACTTTAAAAACAATAAGTCAATTATGTGGAATTTGGGAGATAATATGATTTAAAAATTCCAATTAACTTATGCGTATTTTCAAAAACCAAACTTCTAAACATCTTTAATTACATTAAAGCAGAAAATTCTGTTCTAACCGTTTTACTATTTTAGAAGATAATGGGCAAACCAGGCTTATTTTTGAAAAGTTTCTTTTCACTTTTTAAGAACCATTTTAATTGTCATAAATTTCTAAGAAAAACCTTTTTTCATATATTATTAACAATGGCCTTATTATCATGTAGTAACTAATCAAATTTACCACTAGTTTGAAACAAAGGATATTTATTTTGTAAAGCTGTTTTAATCAATATCTAAAGAATACAAGATACACAATGCTGTTTACCAACGTGACATGTAGCATTGGAATAGAAATTGATAAAGACTAGATACAACTAAAATAGCAAGATAGGACTGAATTTGGAAATAAGGGTATGTGGCCCTGGCTTACCAGTCAGGGGTGATTATCCCTGGGGAAGAGATCCCGTCATCTCTCCCAAAAGTGGTTTAAGATTAGGTTCCAAAGGAAAGTCATTATTACTGTTATTATGTAAAACATGCTATATAATATGGTAATACTTCTTTTTTAAGCCTCATGGGGCACAAAATGTTTTATGTGGCTGAAATTTCAAGGAAAAAAAATCATTTTATTCCTTGAAGTGTCAAGCACTGTTTACTTAACAACTTCGATAGAAAAAATTTTTGTAAGATGTTAGATACATTCTGACTCTCCTGAAACGAAGCATTTTTGAACCCTTGCTTAACAAATGGGATCACCCATATGCTATTTGTTCTAAGATATTCAGTCAGTTTTTCTGTTTTACTTTGTTTTTCTTTTTTATTATTAGACTGAGAGTTGCCTCTTCTCTCTTCTAATCTCCTGCTTGCTGAAGAAAGAGTTACTAGACAGAGACCACAGGAGCTGTATTTAGGGTAATTGTTTTCAGCCAAAGTGGACCAGTACCACTCCTCACTCCCCACTTTCCTGTCTACCAACAAGTGTCATATAACAGTGGGACTCTGGTTCTTTAAAAGCTGAAAGCTGAGAATCATTCTTCTAAATATTTTGTTTTATAAAAATTTAAATTACAACTTTATTGAGCACCCATAATGTGCTTCCATGTATTGACATGTATGTTATTCCCGATCTGCCTAACAATCCTGGGTAGTATTAACCTTGTTTTACAGAAGAGGCAACAGAGGCTCAGAGAGGTTGAGTGAGTTGCCCAGGGTCACACAGCTAGTAAGTGGCAGAGCTGGAGTTCAAAGTCTGAGCTTACCACTACTCTGAGCTGTCCATCAGGGTTGACAAAAGGCTGATCTCCAGCAATCTGACATGATACTGCACATGAAACAATAGTCATCTTTTAATGAAATTGAGGAGAACCCAGTGGAGTATTTAACTTTTAGAGCAGATTCCTAACCTCAGGAAAGGACTGGTAAAGGTTATGTAATACTATTTTACAAACCTTGAAAAGTTCAAACACCATGTGATAGAGATGGGATGGTACATAAACCACTTGTATTGGTTGTCCTGGTGATTTTGCTACAGAGCAGAAGAGAAAAATATGAAAGAACAGAGAGATGTGCTTAAAGCATTTTTAAGAATCAATTGTGTAGTGATGAAAAGAAAACATTTACTGTGGAGGACTGTATGATTTTGTGGAGAACTGCCACACCACTTATTCTTCACTGTATTAGTGTTCAAACCCCATACTCACATAGATTTATAACTGCCAGTGATAACACGAACACTGCAGTCATTTCTTGCAATCCTGCATAACAATCTAACCAATCCACTTCTCCCATTCTTTTCCACCACAGTGATTCTTTTTTAAAGGACGCTCAATCTTACGGTCAGGCTTTTATTTTTCAAAGGGAAATGTTAAAGAAAGTCTCTAAATTCCATAGACCAATTCATAGACCAGTTTACATGTTGTTGTTGTTGGGTACCATTGAGTCGATTTTCATCTCACAGTGACCCCATGTGACAAGACTAAAACTGCCCCATAGGGAGCAGATTGCCAGGTCTTTCTCTCACAGAGCCACTGGGTAGGTTAGAACCGCCAACCTTTCAGGTTAGCAGTCGAGCACTTACCCAATGCCCCACCAGAGCTCCCAGTTCACACAAATACATTAAAAAAAAAAATTTCTAAATGTTTCACCCAGGCAGAACTTCGTCTATTTCAGACATTTCTATGGATGCAGATCTGAATTTAAAAATTTAAGCTTGTATCAATTTATCAAGAGATATAAATTCTACATTCAAACATTTAATGGGAGCCCAGTGGAAGAAGGATGGACAGTGTGTAAAATAGAACCGGTAGTACAGCAAAGGAATTAAGACTCACCACACCTTAGAATTCTAATTCAACCAATAAATCAGACTCTCCCTGCATCGACTACCCCTTGGGAACATGGACCAGACACCTGTAAACCCCCACAGCAGTTCAGGCTCCCAACTACCACCTGTGCATTGTGATTCTTATTTACTGAATGGCAAAATCATGGATTAGGAGTTAATACGGTTTAGAAAACAACAAAAAAAAGAGTGATTCTGTTTTCAACTGGATAACTTTTCCACTGCTCTCCCACAGAATAAGGCTTACCTGTGGCTGTCGAGTTGATTCCAACTCATAGCAATCCTATAGGTCAGAGCAGAACTGCCCCATAAGTTTCCAAGGCTGTAATTTTTACCGAAGTAGCCCACCACATTTTTCTCCCACAGAGCGGCTGGTGGGTTCAAACACTGATCCTTCATTTAACAGCCGGGTGCTTAACCACTGTACCATCAGGGCTCCTTAGAATAAGGCTTAGTGAAAGCCTATCTAATTTTATTCTTCCCAACTTCTTTTTAACTCCCTCTACCAAACTGCACTACTTCTAGAAAAAAGAGGGAGACTCATTAATCTCCTCCCAAGGCATCTAAGCCTTTTTGTTTGAAAGGCACTAATCAGGGTAAAAAGAAAAACAGAGGTGCAAGTGGCTGAGCATCTTTCTTTACTCTTTTACACCCTAGTCTTTTTATTCCCTCAACAGTAAAAAATGACTTACTACTGGTGGTGCAGTGGTTAAGAGCTATGGCTGCTAACCAAAAGGTCGGCAGTTCAAATCCAACCAGTCGCTCCTTGGAAACCCTTTGGGGAAACTCTGCTCTGTCTTATAGAGTCGCTATGAGTCACAATCAGTTTGACGGTACATAACAACAACAACTCAGAAAGTAGAAATCTTAAATGGTAAACCTTACATTACTGAAATGCACCCTAAAGTCAAATGAAATTTTCTTGGCATTTTTTTCTAAGATAAACCAGAAAATAAAAAATAAGCAAAGAATCAAAAGTTATCAATTAAAAATAAATAAAATGGGACAGAAAAATGCTAAAAGTTTTTTTCAGAAAGAATCCTACTAAATTCAGTACATGAGTTATTTTATTTTTTTATGTGATTTCTCTCTTTCAACCTTCATATTCAATAAAGAAATTGATGAAAAAGTTCCATTAAAACAAATCTAACTTCTTACCATTTCCTGTCAGCTGAAAATACTACTAATCATTAAGGAAAAGATGACATCAGGCTTACCATTTAGTTCTTGAAGTTCCAATTCAGGAGAGTTAATGTAATATAAATCACATAGGCGCCTAGCATTTTCATAGCCATCTGGTGTGAATCAAGACAAAAAAAGCATTAAATAAATTTAGCTCTGTTTCATACATTACAATGGTAATAATATTGACAGGTGAATTTTTAAACTCTATGGAAGAAAATATACTTTATTAACCTTGGCTTGGGGGAGGTCTTTCTAAATGTGACATGACAAAGCCCAATAGACCTAGAGGAAGAATGACAGATATGACTACAGAAAAAATTTAAAACATCTGTATAGAAAAGGATACCATAAACAAAGTAAAAAGAAAAATAGCAGGCTGAAGAAAATATTTACGTTATGTAACAAAAAATGTAATATGCATACTGTAGGAGGACTTCTATAAAATCCATTAGAAAAAGATAGGTAATCAAATAGGAAATAGGCAAAAGATGTGATGCGCAACTCATAGAAGGAAAAATATGGCCAATAAACATAAAAAGCTGCTCAATTTCATTAAATGCAAAGCAACGAAAATCAAAACAATGACATACCAGATTTTTTTTCTCTATCAGATTGGCAAAAATGTGACTGAAAACTTTCAGAGTTGGTGAGGGTTTAAGAAACAGGTACTCTTATCCATTGTTTGCTACTTTTTTGGAAGTATAGAAATTTTAAATACATTTAAAATGTTAAATTTCTAGGAATCGTGCCTTCCAAACTACAAGCAAAAGTCAGCATGTATCTAAGAATGTCAGCATGTACCTAAGAATGTTCCCTGCAGTTTTGTTACTAATAGAAAAAAATTAAAACAATCCAAGTGTTCATCAGTGGGAGGATGGATTAATACATTATGATACATACATACAGCCATTCAAAAACTTGGGATATATGATGGTTAAGGTTGTGTGTCAACATGGCTGGGCCATGATTCTCAGTGGTTTGGCAGTTATGTAATGATGTAATCAACTCCATGATGAGATTTGCTATGACAAGTATAAGGAAGCTGGTTGGTTGGTCTTACTTTCACTAGGCAAAGTAGTGAAAGTAAGAGATGAGCTCAGGGCTTCAGACTCACAGCTCAAGCACTGCATCAACAACCTCAAAGTTGCCACTTCTGCCTTGAAAGAAAGCTTTATTTCTTGTAGTAACAGAGCTGATATTTCCAGAAACCAAGCCCAGAGTCTTATCGTAAGAGTGGCTAAATTATAACACCAACTAAATTCCCAACCTCGAACGGTGTCTGAAGTTAAAGTGAAGGCATTGATTGGGAAGGAATGGGATCCTGAAACTTGGGATGGGTACATATAGACAGACAATCAGGAAGCTGGAGACATTGAGCCCCTAAGTTCTGTTGAAGCACTCCTGCCAACAAAACCAGCCCTCTCACTCCCATCTAAAGAAGATTACTCCACCTTTGTCTGCTAAACCACCCTCCCCAGTAAAACCATTAGCCCCTCCACACCCATCTGATGAGATTAACCCAGCTGTGTCTGAAGAGCCTTTGTCTGAGTCATTGCATGGGGCATTGCCTAAGGCAGGCACCTTACAATACAATGCTGAATGTTCTCAGATCACATCTTCACCGCCCATTTTTGCTTCTAGATCTATAGCTAGACTTAAATCCCTGTGAGCTCCAAAAGTTGAAGTACAAAGTATGACCCAGGAGGAGGTACGTGATAACCCAAAAGAAATGCTTGACATGAACAAAGAGAAACCTGGGAAATATGTGAGGGAATGGCTATTAAGGGTGTCGGATAATGGTACAAGGAACATAAAGTTGCATCAGTCTGAGTTTATTGATATGGGCCCAATAAGCACAGATCCTTCATTCAGTGTTTCACCTCCAGAGGTTAGAAAAAGATCTAATAGTTTATTTGATTGGTTTGTTGAAGCACAGATCAAGCGGCGGCCTACACTAAATCAAGCTGAAGTGCCAGACCTGCCTTGGTATACTCTAGAAGGTATCTAAAGGCTTAGGGAATTTGGCATGTTAGAGTGGATTTATCAGGTTAGACCCACAGACCCACACATGGAGTGCCCAGAGGACACACCTTTTACCATAACTGTAAGGAACAAATTTGTGAAGGGAGCCCCAACATCCCTGAAGACTGCTGTGGTTGTTATTTTATGTAAGTCAGATTTGACAATCAGAACAGACCTAACTGTATTAAGACACCTAACTACAGTGGGCTGATTGAACCCTGTGGTGGTAGGGGCCAAGTGGCGGCACTTAATCAACAAAGACAAGATGAGCGTGTTACCGTAATGGACAGCGGAGTCAAAGCAGTAATCAAAATAGTCTGATTCATATGGACTTAGGTGTTAACTACTTATTCATGGTATTCCTAGGAGTGAAAGAGACGGGAAATCTACTAAATACGTTCGTACAAGTGGAAGAATTCTAGGTCAAGTGAATGACAGTCTAACTTGAATCGCCAGAAGAGTCACAGCCCCTTAATCAATTCCCAGACTTCAGCCAGTTTACAAACTCACAGCCCCTTGAATGAAGGGGAGCCTGGATCCTCTTGGGGAAAGACCCCCACTACACTTCCAAAAATTTCTACTATCTTTCTTCCAGCCTTCCCAAAGGGATCTACAGCCTTTTATGAGAGTGACCGTTCACTGAGGAAAAGGAAATCATCAGACTTTGGGGGGATTGGACAATGATGGTGAACTGCCACAAATTCCAGGAGACCCAAAACATCACTGTGGCCCACCAATCAGAGTGGGGGCTTGTGGAGGTCAGGCTATTAATGGAGTCTTAGTTCATGTCCATCTTACACTGGGTCCCCGAACCCATCCTGTAATGATTTCCCCAGTCCCATAATGCATAATTAGAATAGACATACTCAGCAACTGGCAGAACCACCATACTGGATCTCTGACACATGGAGTAAGGGCTATTATGGTAGGAAAAACCAAGCGGAAGCCATTAAAACTGCCACTACCTAGGAAAACAGTAAACCAAAAGCAATACTGCATTCCTGGAGGGATTGCAGAGATTACTGCCACCATCAAGGACTTGAAGGATGCAGGGGTGGTAATTCCCACCACAACCCCATTCAACTCACCTATGTGGCCTATGCAAAAATCAGATGGTTCTTGGAGAATGACAGTGGATTACTGAAAACTTAACCAGGTGATGACTCCAACTGCAGCTGCTGTTCCAGATGTAGTCTCATTGCTTGAGCAAATTAATACATCTCCTGGTATCTGGTATGCAGCTATTGATCTGGCTAATGCCTTTTTCTCCATACCTGTTGTCATAGATTGAATTATGTTCCCCAAAAAATGTGTGTATCAGTTTGGCTGGGCCATGATTCCCTGTATTGTGTAATTTTCCTATATGTTGTAAATTCTGCCTCTATGATGTTAATGAGGGAGAATGGGCGGGAGTTGTGTTAGTAAGGCAGGACCCAATCTACAAAACTGGATTGTGTCTTGAGGCAATGTCTTGAGATATAAGAAAAGTGAGCAGAGAGACAGGAGAACCTCACATTACCAAGAAAGCAGCGCCAGGTGCAGAGCGCATCCTTTGGACCTGGGGTCCCTGTGTGGAGAAGCTCCTAGTCCGGGAGAACATTAATGAGAAGGCCAACAGAGAGAGAAAGCCTTCCCCTGGAGCTGACACACAGAATTTGTACTTTTAGCCTACTTTACTGTGAAGCAATAAATTTCTCTTTGTTAAAGCCATCCACTTGTGGTATTTCTGTTATAGCAGTACTAAACGACTGTTTTGAAGGATCACCAGAAGTAATTTGCCTTCAGCTGGGAAGGCCAGCAATACACCTTCACTGTCCTACCTCAGAAGTATTATCAACTCTCTGGCCCTATGTCATAATTTAGTCCACAGGGAACCTGACAGCTTTCCCTTCCGCAAGACGTCACACTGGTCTTACACTGATGACATTATACTGACTGGCCCTAGCAAGGAAGAAGTATCAATGATGCTAGACTTATTGGTAAGACATTTGCATGCTAGAGGGTGGGAAATTAACCTGACAAAAATTCAGGTATCTTCCACCTGGTGTGGGGAATGTCGAGATAGTCTTTCTAAAGTGAAGGACATGTTGTTGCATCTGGCCCCTCCTACAACTAAAAAGGAGGCACAATGTCTGGTGGGCCTCTTTGGATTTTAGAGGTAGCATATCCCTCATTCAGGTGTGCTACTCTGGCCTATTTATCAAATGACTCAAAAAGCTGCTAGTTTTGAGTGAGGCCCAAAACAAGAAAAGGCTCTACAAAAGGTTCAGGCTACTGTGCAAGCCACTCTGCCACTTGGCCCATATGATCTGGCTGATCCAACAGTGCTCATCGTGCCCACGGCAGATAGAGATGCTGTTTGGAGTGTTCCGCAGGCCTCTACTGGTGAATTACAGCACAAAGCTTTAGGATTTTGGAGCAAAACCCTACCATCTTCTGCAGATAACTACTCTCCTTTTGAGAAACAGCTTTTGGCTTGCTACTGCCTTAGTAGAGACTGAATGCTTAACCGTGGGCCACCAAGTCACCATGGAGCTTAAACAGCCCATTATGAACTGGGTGTTGTCTGACTCACAGAGTCATAAAGTTGGACATACACAGCAGCACTCCGTAATTAAATGGAAGTGGTATATACGAGATAGGGCCCGAGCAAGACCTGAAGGCACAAGTATGTTGCATGAGGAAGTGGGCCCAAGTGCCCATGGTCTCCACTCCTCTCACATTACCTGCCCTCTCTTAGTCTGTACCTATGGCCTTATGGGTAGTGCCTTATGATCAGTTGACTGAGGAAGAAAAAACTCATGCCTAGTTTACAGATGATTCTGCAAGATATGCAGGCACCACTAGAAAGTGGACAGCAGCAGCACTACAACCCCTTTCTGGGACCTCCCTAAAGGACAGTGGTAAAGGGAAATCCTCCCAATGGGCAGAACTTCAAGCAGTGCACCTGGTTGTTCACTTCGCTTGGAAGGGGAAATGGCCAGATGTGCAACTGTATTCAGATTCATGGGCTGTGGCCAGTGGTTTGGCTGGATGGTCAGGGACTTGAAAGGAACATAATTGGAAAACTGGTGAAAAAGAGGTATGAGGAAGAGGTATGCAGACTGACCTCTCTGAATGGACCAAAGGAGTGAAGATATTTATGTCTCATGTGAATGCTCACCAAAGGGTGACATCGACAGAGAAGGATTTTAACAATCAAGTGGACAGGATGATGCGTTCTGTGGAAACCAGTCATCCTCTTTCCCCAGCCAGTCCCGTCGCTGTCTAACAGGCTCATGAACAAAGTAGCCATGGTGGAAGGGATGGAGGTTATGCATGGGTTCAGCAACATAGACTTCCACTCACCAAGGCCAGCTTGACTACAGCTGAGTACCCAATCTGCCAGCAGCAGAGACCAACACTAAGTTCCCAATATTGCACCATTCCTTGAGGTGATCAGCCAGCAACCTGTTGGCAGGCTGATTACATTGGACCACTTCCATCATGGAAACGGCAGTGTTTCATTCCTACTGGGATTGACACTTACTCTGGATATGGATTTCCCTTTTCTGCATGCAATACTTCTGCCAAAACTACCGTGGACTCACAGAATGCCTTATCCACTGTCATGGTGTCCCACACAGCACCTCCTTGGGATCAAGGAACTCACTTCATAGCAAATGAAGTGTGACAGTGGGCCCATGCTCATGGAATTCACTGGTCTTACCAGGTTCCTCATCATCCTGAAACAGCTGGTTTGATAGAACGATGGAATAGCCTTCTAAAGACAAAATTACAGCATCAGCTAGGTGTCAATACCTTACAGAGTTAAGGCAATGTTCTCCAGGAGGCTGTATATGTTCTTAACCAGCATCCAATATATGGTGCTGTTTCTCCCATAGCCAGGATTCACGGGTCCAAGAATCAAGGGGTAGAAATGGGAGTAGCACTACTCACTATTACCCCAAGTGGCCCACTTGCAAGATTTTTGCTTCCTGTTCCCGAGACGTTATGCTCTGTGGTCTAGAGGTCTTAGTTCCAAAGGAAGGAATGCTCCCATCTGGAGACACATCACTGATTCCACTGAACTGGAATGCCACCTGGCCACTTCGGGCTCCTCATGCCTCTGGATCAACAGGCAAAGAAGGGAGTTACCATATTGACTGGTGTGACTGACCTTGATCACCAAGAGGAAATCAGATTGATATTACATAATGGAGGTAAAGAAGAGTATGTCTGGGATACAGAAGATCCCTTAGTGCGTCTCTTAGTACTACCATGCCCTGTGATTAAAGCCAATGGAAAACTACAGCAATCCAATTCCGATATGACTACTAATGGCCCAGATCGTTCAAGAATACAGGTGTGAGTCACCCCATCAGGTAAAGAACCACAACCAGCTGAGGTGCTTGCTGAGGGTAAAGGGAATACAGAATCAGTGGTAGAAGAAGATAGTTCTAAATACCAGCTACGATGACGTGACCAGTTGCAGAAATGAGGACCGTAACTGTTATGCGTGTTTCTTCCTTGTATGTGTGTTTCTTCCTTGTATGTGCGCGCGGTGCAACTGATTACATTTGTGTGGCCTTCTAGCCATGGTCTTGTAACTCCTATCCATGTGACAGGGGGACTGTTTGATAAGGTAATTGTGGCCCACCAAGGGGATTGGTCAGTTTTCCCTTAAAAAGGAGTCGATTCCAGAGCAGAGAGGGTCCTATCACCACCAAGGAAAAACAGCCAGGAGCAGAGAGCACATCCTGTGGACCCAGGAACCCTGAGCTAAGAAGTTCCGGGAAGCAGGGAACCAGGAGAGAGAGCAAGCTGTAGACTTGAAGACAGTGAGAAGCAGTGGCAGAAGACCTGACAGCCAAGACCCAGCAGCAGGAGACTGCATGGTGGGCTTCCTGGCCAATGGAGAGAGAAAGCTGAGTGCCTTTAGGCAGAGGCTAAGGGCCAGGGAGAGGCATGTCTGCAAGCACAGCTGGGGGAGAGGCTGTCCTGATGAAAGAACTGTATCCTGAGTGTTCCTGAGCCTGAACTGTAACTGTTACTCCCTTATAATAAACCCCATAATCATGAGTATGGTCTTTGAGTTCTGTGTGGCCACTGCAATGAATTATCAAACCCAGCAGAGAAGGAGAGTGGTATGTGAGAGACAACTGGTTTCAGAATTAGTGAAGATGGCAGAGAGAGGAGGCTTGTCTGGCCTCCGCCTCATGGGAGTCAGCCTCCCGCTGTTGATCTTGGTTCTCCTTCCTCCTTGTGGGGTTAGAGGAGGTCAGACACTGCCTCCAAGCTGTTCTTACAGTATGCATCAAATATTTTTGATGTCTTCATTTATAAAATATAAGTTGTAAACGGGGCTAGTGCATTTTCAGATGTAAGCATGTTAGTTGTATCATCATAAGCACAAGTATGACTTTATAATTTTCTTTATTTAGAGGTTATGTATGGTTTAAGGAAATGTGTACAGGTGCCAAGACGACAAGTGGTGGACTGTGATAGTTAAGGTGGTGTGTCAACTTGGCTGGTTTGGCATTTATGATGTAATTTGGCAGTTATGTAATGATCTAATCAACTCCATGATGAGATCTACTATGAGTAGCCAATCATTTGAAAAGGAGTTCCTTGAGGGTGTGGCCGCCTCCAGTATATAGATGGATGTTCCAGCAAGGCTCTCACTCTGGATCCTGAATCCAGCTCATCATGATCTGACCTCCTGTTCTTGGGACTTGAGCTAGCAGCTTACCGCCGATCTTGGGATCTGTCAGCCTCTGCAGCCTATGAGCCATCAGCCTGCTGTCTGACCTGCCACGCTTGTGTTCATTAATCCCTGCAGCTACACGAGTCAGGAGAAGCCTCCAGACTAAAGCCTGATCCACAGACTTAGGACTTGCCAGCCTCTACAACTGCATGAGCCATTTCCTTGAGATTAATCTCTCTGTGTATATATGTATGTATGTATGGATGGATGGATACATACATACACACACACTCTTCATTGGTTTTGCTTCTCTAGAAAACCTACCTTAAGACAGAATATCTCCAGGTGTACTACCATGGTACAATATCTGTAAACTTATAAAAAATATACATAGAGTATCCCACTATATAAAAACAAAGGCCAAAAAAAATTTATATGCATATGTGCATATATGGTATAAACACAAAAATGTGTGGAAAAATGCAAACCAAATTGTTATGAATTATGGCTCCTATTACAGGGAGCTAGAAAGGGGACTTGAACTTTTTGAAGTGAAAGAGATCTCCTCTACAGTATGACCATACTTTGCCTAACAAAATATATCAAAAAAACTTTCATCCTATACATAATCCACAAATAGGTTATAAAGTTATTTTCAAACAATCCACATATTTACTCTTAACATTTTATCTAATGATATAGTTATCTTAATAGCAAAAAACTACAATTGATTTTGATTTTTGCATTCTTTTTGAAAGGAGAAACTTAACTGTTTACCTTTAATAACTTCAACTACGTTACAGTTTGGATTTATGCTTCCAATGTGTTTTCGATGAGATGGACTTCCTTTGCCTTTCCCACCAAACAATAAAGCTATCAAAAAACAAAAAATAAAAAGCAATTAGGTACCTAACACCCTTTTCCAGATTTGACTACTGTTTCTCTAAATGGTGCCAAATAGTAGAACGAGCATTTTCCTTATGCATAAACATAGAATTTTACATTCAACAAACATACCATGTATAGAGCTATTTACTATTCTTAACCTGCAAAAGAAGTAAAACTAAATGTTCTCCATAAAGCGAAGTTTTAAAAATAAATTTAAAATGTACCAACCCCACATTTTACTTAGGTTCTTCACTTGATTCTCGGACACTTACAGTGTTGATTGAGTAACATTCTAATTGAGATACGACTCATGTAGAAACGATCCAAAAAGTACTGAACATTCTGGCTGGTGACAGGATCCACCCCGAAGCTCTCCTTATACTCAACCACACCCTGGGCCATCGTGGGAATGACGTCATTGTGTCGGTTCCTGATCCGTATCACAGTATCTGTAAAGCTAAACAAACTTGTCTGTCAAAATGGCCAAATATTTTAACAAGAAAATTTAATACTGAAAAATAAGTGTAACCAACTACACTAGATAAAGAAAATCCCTAGTTCAGAGAAAGGAGCATCACTTCTTGTTTTCCTACACTTAAAATTTAAGTACATTTCAGGACATAAAATATATGGAATCAATGGAAGTGTAAGGACCCCAAAATAAAATTTTCAAAATTTAACTCCTTTCTTGGAACTCCTAAAAAATAAGGCTGCCACAAAATACAATCCTAAAAATGTTAAGAGTTTTCTTAACCATTATCAACTCAGGTCATCTGAGCATTCACTATGAGGACCGTATTCCAAGGACATTCAGCATAAGAAAAGACAGAGCACTTGCTTCCAGGGAACACGAGCTCTGTACAGAATGAAGGTGAATGAGCAAATAAAGCCTGTCTGGCTTTGAAACTATTCCCTAGAGTTCAAAGAGAAAAAGAACCACTTAACAGAAAAGTAGAAAAGAATTCTAATTTCATTTATCCTGTGGGTTTACAAAATGGGAGAGGAAAAGTAGACAGTTGTGTTAAAAGAAAAACTTCCAAATCATCCCGCCTTCCTATTTCTATCATTTAAAAGACACTGTTGCCTGGTTAATTTAGCGAGCTAAATAAAAGAGGAAAGGAGTTTTAATTATGAAGTAACACAACCAACCTTCTAACATAATCATCAGAATTTACACTTCCAAATGAGTGCTTTCCCATTCAAAGTCATCACCTTGAGTACTATTAACTTATTCCAAGGACGCTTCCTCTGCTCAAAACACTTTTTCAATTCCTAGATTGTAATTAGCTTCAAAACCAAACTGTTACACCAAACTACAGACAACAAAACTCCTCAAAAACAAACAACTAATCATTCTAGTCACCCCCTTTATTTCTCTCTTTAAAAACAAAAAAGAAAAACAGCATTATTCTGCTTGATTGCTCACCCTATTTTCTAGATTTAGCTCTGAATGACTAACCCCTTTTCAGAAGGTTCTAAAGCATAGTGTATACTTTTAAGTAAGACTGCTTCGGTCAAATCCTGATTCTACCATTTGCTAGCTTTGTGACCTTAAGTTAACCTCTTTGTGCACAAACAGCATTATTTCAATAGAGTTGTTTTAAAGACTAAATGACATTGCTCATAAAAAGTCTTATCAAAATACAAAATCAACAACAATGAAAAAGATGAAAAGAAAATAAATAAAGAAAAACAACAGCACAGAAAATTAAATGAAACAAAGAAACGGTCAGCAGCACACAAAAAAGACATCAAAATGACAGCATTAAACTCATACTTATCAATAATTACGCTGAATGTAAATGGATAAATGCACCAATAAAGAAACACAGAGTGGCAGATTGGATAAAAAAACACGATCCGTTTATATGCTGCCTACAAGAGACACACTTTAGACTTAAAGACACAAACAAACTAAAACTCAAAGGATGGAAAGAAACATATCAAGCACACAACATTCAAAAAAGAGCAGGAGTGGCAATACTAATCTCTGACAACATAGACTTTAAAGTAAAATCCACTGCAAAGGATAAGGAAGGACACTATATAATGATTAAAGGGTCAATACACAGGAGGACATAACTATAATAAATATTTACACACCCAACAACAGGGCTCCAAAATACATAAAACAAACTCTAACAGCACTGAAAAGAGAGACAGACAGCTCCACAATAATAGCAGGAGACTTCAACACTCCACTATCAGTGAAGGACAGAACATCCAGAAAGAAGCTCAATAAAGACATGGAAGATCTAAATGCTACAATCAACCAACTTGATCTC